AATGTACTAAGACACTAGTGCTCTTTAGAAAAAGATAAGTAAGAGTCTTTAGCATGGTCTATAATGGTTAATACAATCTGTCCCCTGTCTCTCTAGCCAGATTCCTGCTTTCACACTTTTGCTTTTGTCACCTAGGCTGTCTTTCATCTCGTCCCAGGCATCTAGCACCCTCCCTCCTTAGATGTTCCATATGTCTGGAATGCTTGTGCCCATCTGCTGTTACCAGCTAAATCTTAATTCATTCTTCGGCTCCAATGTCACTCTCTCAGGAAAGCCTTTCCTGACCTCTAGGTTTATATTGGGTGCATTTCTCCATTATTATAAGTCTGTGTTTGTTTACTTGTTCTGACTGTTACTTTCCATGGCCTTGTAAGATCTGATAGCTTCGCACTATTGCATCCTCTGGTGTCCAACACAGGGCCTGGCACCTGTAAGACACTCGGTAAATATATGTTGGAGTCATGCTCAGTCTTGCCAACCCCCATTTTTGCATGATGTTTCTACCACCGCCCTATTCTAGGGGGCCCAAGTGCTCAGATAATTAAATGAAAAGGATTCAGTTCTTCTAGCTTGGAAACTAAAATTTGGAGATGAAATTCTGAGCCAACATAGCACATTTCAGCACTGTCAAGGTTAATGACTTAATATTGCTAATAGTCAAATATGCAGTGCTTTGGCTTTCTCCACTAGGGAAAATCTAATGTACAGAAAGGGTTACAGTAGAATTTATAAAACTTCATTTTTAAAATAATGACAAACCATATATCATTAACCTCCCTGTTATAATGGTGCTTTGGATAGCGGTGTGGGACAGGGAGATGTTAAAGTCTTGAGTTCACAGCTTATTAAGAATTATAATGCAAATTTAAAAATTGGTTCTAAAACCATAGAGAACAAAATGCAAAATATTTTACTTAAAGATTTGGAAGACTTTTTTTTTAAGGGTCATAACTAATGAATGAAGTACTTCTTTACTGGTATAATCTAGCTAATAGAAAATTCATTTGGCAAAATGCTGGTTGACATTTCACTGAATATAATTAGAAAAAACTGGACAGATAGTGAATATAATGAGACATGGGAAGAAGAGGTCATTCCCATACCTTTTGTGCTCTATTCTCTAAAGGTTTTTCTGGGCAGTGGGATCCTGTCTATACTGTGGAAGTTAACAGGATTTTTGGTTGCTGCCAATAAACATGTCTGCTCTGGAAATCTACTGTGGCAACTTGGAGAAATTTATTTTGTCAATGGAAACCTCCATTTTTAGAATTATTTTTCCAAATCAATATCTTACTTCTTAAAATAAAGAACTTATGTTATATATGACCTTAAGTGACTATTTTTTTTTTCCTTCTGGAATTCTGTTTGACTATGGGGTCAAATTCAATTCTAGCTCTAAGCCCTTCAGCCATAAAATTTCTGCCAGCTTCCTAGATAAAGTAGTATCACCTAATGCAGTGACTCCCTCAAATGCCAACACTTCTTTTTAATATCCATAAAAGCGGAAGAAACCCCAACCCTGCCCAAACTTTTCCTTTCCTTCTTTCTTCTCTTCTTTTCTTCATCCCTTTATTTCATTTGATCTACATTTACTGAGGGTTCTGCTCTGTGCCAAGCACTATTTTTGTTTTGTTTTGGTATTGCTGGGGATTGAACCCAGGGCCTTGTGCATGCAAGGCAAGCACTTTACCAACTGAGCCATATCTCCAGCCCCCAAGCACTGTTTTAATCTCTGAGAATCAGCAGTAGAAAACCAAAAACGAACAAAGTCCCTTTTCTTATAAAATTTACATTCTTGTATATCCTTTATAAATGGAAAGGAAGAATAGCTGGAAGTAGGGCAAGTTTTGATATTAAAAAAGGAGATAAATATTCGTGAATTTTAAAATATTCTTTCCTAGTTTGAAGGTTAGAGAAGCCAATTGTTTTTAAATATGATGATTTATTCAATATAAAAAAAGACTGATGGCGATTTATTTTTAGAATACTGATCCAAATTAAGAAAAGCCAAATCCTACGATCTACATACTGTGGGGTCGGGCTCCAAATTCCTCAATAGGACACCCATAGCACAAAAGTTAATAACTAGAATCAACAAATGGGACTTACTCAAACTAAAAAGTTTTTTCTCAGCAAAAGAAACAATAAGAGAGGTAAATAGGGAGCCTACATCCTGGGAACAAATCTTTACTCCTCACACTTCAGATAGAGCCCTAATATCCAGAGTATACAAAGAACTCAAAAAATTAAACAATAAGATAACAAATAACCCAATCAACAAATGGGCCAAGGACCTGAACAGACACTTCTCAGAGGAGGACATACAGTCAATCAACAAGTACATGAAAAAATGCTCACCATCTCTAGCAGTCAGAGAAATGCAAATCAAAACCACCCTAAGATACCATCTCACTCCAGTAAGATTGGCAGCCATTATGAAGTCAAACAGCAACAAGTGCTAGCGAGGATGTGGGGAAAAGGGTACACTTGTACATTGCTGGTGGGACTGCAAATTGGTGCAGCCAATTTGGAAAGCAGTATAGAGATTTCTTGGAAAGCTGGGAATGGAGCCACCATTTGACCCAGCTATTCCCCTTCTTGATCTATTCCCTAAAGACCTAAAAAGAGCATGCTACAGGGACACTGCTACATCGATGTTCATAGCAGCACAATTCACAATAGCAAGACTGTGGAACCAACCTAGATGCCCTTCAATAGATGAATGGATAAAAAAAAATGTGGCATTTATACACAATGGAGTATTACTCTGCATTAAAAAATGACAAAATCATAGAATTTGCAGGGAAATGGATGGCATTAGAGCAGATTATGCTAAGTGAAGCTAGCCAATCCCTAAAAAACAAATGCCAAATGTCTTCTTTGATATAAGGAGAGTAACTGGGAACAGAGTAGGGACGAAGAGCATGAGAAGAAGATTAACATTAAACAGGGATGAGAGGTGGGAGGGAAAGGGAGAGAGAAGGGAAATTGCATGGAAATGGAAGGAGACCCTCAGGGTTATACAAAATTACATACAAGAGGAAGTGAGGGGAAAGGGAAAAATAATACAAGGGGGAGAAATGGATGACAGTAGAGGGGGTAGAGAGAGAAGAGGGGAGGGGAGGGGAGGGGGGATAGTAGAGGATAGGAAAGGCAGCAGAATACAACAGACACTAGTATGGCAACATGTAAATCAATGGATGTGTAACTGATATGATTCTGCAATCTGTATACGGGGTAAAAATGGGAGTTCATAACCCACTTGAATCAAAGTGTGAAATATGATATGTCAAGAACTATGTAATGTTTTGAACAACCAACAATAAAAAATTAAAAAAAAAGAAAAGCCAAATCTGAGAATTTGTACATTTTTTAAAACATGATCTAGAATAAAATATCACATTATTACTAACTAGTGACTTCCAAAATGATGTTTATCTAAACATGATGTTCCATTTTCACTGTGTCTGTTCAGAGAGTTTCTCTAAGTCTCCTGGAGAAGCCCCTTAAGAATAGGGCAATGTTTTAGTCATCGTAGGATATCTTGGGCTTTACCAGAGTGTCTGGTACATACAGCACATATATACAGGCATGTACTACCACACCTGGCTCATTGTCTTAATAAAACTATTCAGTGAAATACAGCATTATGTTCAGATTATTAACAAGGTTGGTTTGCAAAAGATAAACAAACTCCTCATAGTTTTAGAATATTCCAATGTTCGAAAAAATGACTGGCTTCTGGTTCTTTACTAATAATATAGAACTTTAATACCTTGAGTTTGGATTAATTGTAGGGTGAAGTCTGTATCTGTGGATTTTTTTAAAGTTTGGGGACATGTGATCATATGTACATCTTATCCATATTTCTGAATTTCTTTCTGAGCAGTGGGAATAAATTCATTTTATTGTAATAGCAAATATACTAAAACACATTCACAAATATTATAAGTAAGGTATATCAATATTTATCTCATTTATGTAAATAATTTATATAATTCATTTCATTGTATGTAATTTCTTTTTTGGGGGGGGGGATTGAACCCAGGGGCATTTAACCACTGGGCCACATCCCCAGCTCTTTTTTGTATCTTTATTTAGAGACAGGGCCTCACTGAGTTGCTTAGGCTCTCCCTAAATTGCTGAGGCTGGCTTTGAACTTGCGATCCTCCTGCTTCAGCCTCTGTCTCTGGAGCTGCTGGAGGTGTCCCATCACATCTGGCTCATTGTCTCAAGACTTCAGAGAGTTGGAGAATCAGAGGAATAGACACTTCTCTCATGCTATACAAATTACTTGTCTCAGAGTCTAAAAAGGAGGTTAGCTCAATGGATGTGCGGCTTCATGGGAGAGGGGATTCTGTAACTCTAGATTGAAACACATTCTTTGCTAACTTTATATGGTAGAAATCAGGCAGTTGGCATGTCAGTTACCTTTAAAAGTAATGAAAATAATAATAATAATAATTGTTATTATATTGCACCAGAAGCAAATGATTCTAGAAGAGTTTATTTATTGCTTAACCTTAATTAACCTATGTAAATTAAAAATATCTAGGCAAAAATTAAAATTTAGACTGACATTTTTTTTTCTCCATGAGCTCAAAATTTCTTTAGAATATGAAAACTTCTACTTCTTGATAAAGTGATGTGACTGAGAAAGGAATAACACAGTGTGTAGAAATTCCTATTACTGATAAATGGAAAATATTCAGATATGGTACCTTCTTCAAGAAGATAAATTTTTACATCAGACTTGGGTTCAAGTCTTTGCTTCACTATTTACTCTGAGATCCTGGGAAATATACTTGATCTTTCTAAACCTTATTTCCTGGATTTGAATGGAATAGCAACACTCAGTACATAAGGCTGATGTGGGGATCAAATTAGATAATGGATATAAATGTTCTGCACAATGACTGGGGTATGATAAAGACCCTACAAATGAAGCTGTTATTAGAGATAGCATCCCTCACCCAGATTTTAATCCATTAAATAGTTACCTTATTGACAGGAATAATGTTTTTGACATTGTAGTAGAAGCCAAAATAAACCATGTTGAAAACTCCATGACGTCCCAAAGTTGCTGTAAATCCTTTGTTGAGGCCCTGGAGTCCCAAGCCTTCCTTCTTAATGATTTGTCTTGCATAACTTAAGGTGGATGGTTGCTACAGGAGAGAAAAGCAAAGCCAGAAAGATCATCTTTGGGACTGTGGAACAGAGTAAATTACTGTATTAGCTTCCCTCTAAGCCAGAATTATAAGGATTTTTTTTTATATCCCAAACATGAATAATCATGCCTAGATCTGTGCTTTTCAAAATTAGAAAACCCCCAAAGCAAACAAAATTGCATGCATAACAACAGGATTTATAGAGAAGATTGTTGGCAAAGAAAAACTATCTTTGGTGGAATTAGTGAAACTAATGTCATGTAATAACTATCACCACTTTCAACATGTAAATAATTGTATCCAATTCTGAAATATGCACTCTAATGAAGGGGATTAGCCATATAGATAAATTAGTAATCCAGAACTACACATCATCCAAATGGAATTTATACTTGGCTCCTGAATCCAGCATATTTACCTTTTTAATTATGTTTTTCTAAACTAATGTTAAAATTAGTCTTAATCCTATTGCCTCAATAGTTTTAAACTGGTGGTAGGTTAGAAATCGACCATGGATAAATAGCTCTTGATTGGTATATATCCTAAAGAAAATAGGCAATCAGTGCATGTATCACTTGCTGTGATAAATTATAAATCATTGGTGACAGAAGAACTAGGTTACCTTTAATTTATTCTTTTTCAGCTCTCTGATTGATTACCCAAGGCTGAAATAACTACTGGGATCCAATCTGCTACTTTGGGAACTTGCTAAGGAACTTACTGCAGTTTGCTCTGAGGTTTATAATTCATGACAATACAATTACAATGACTCATGGGTGTTTTTTTTAAACTATGAGTGATTGTTTCCTTTTTTGGAGTTAATACACAAAGGATATCTCGCTCACATTTTGACTAAATATTAAATGGGGGGACATATTCAGTGTTTAATCCCCCCTCCATGAGGCAAGCAGTGACATGACATTTGTTTGATATTTTACTAGAGCAGGTTTCTGGAGTGGTCACAACAGTCTGATGTGATTTCAGTGTAAGTGTTTTCTTATCATGGCAATTAAGGCTACATCAGTAGAATAGACAAAACAAATACAATCAAGGCTTTTCATGTAACTTGTATTTATAGTTATATAATTAACATAATACATTTAAATGAGCTTTTTTATATAGTAAATCCTATAGTTTTTACTGATAATTACATGGCTACACTCAACTTCACCTTTTCTTTTAAGAGTATTAATTACAATAAGTTACATTAAACTTAAGAAAACTCATCTTTGTAACATGAAAATACCATGTGAGGATATATCTTGAAATAATAAAAGACATCTCATGTAGGAAAACAAATTCCCAGGTTAAAGTTCACTATTCTATAACATGGGACATTTTCATTTTGGTTCACTATCAATCAAAACGATTTATTTTGGTCTTCATCAGAGAAGAGGACAAATTGAGCAGAAGATCATTCCTCCTGGGAAGGCATTGGCAGTACTGAACAAACTGCCTAGGAGAGTCTTTCTCTGAAGGCTGCCTGGAGACAGGGAAAGGACAAGAGGTGGCTTTCCTGGGAATAAGAAGAGCAGGGCAGAGGTGAAGTTGCACAGCTAAACTGGACCAGTGTAGTGCCCTCTTCACCAACCTAAGTTTTCCATTCTCACACAGCTGAGAACCAGAGGGCAGGAAGGATGGTAAGCTTAGAGGCTATCAAGGTTCTCAAGCAATGGAGGAATCAATGACTTTAATGAATTTGCAGATAATAAGACTTTCCTAAAATAAAAAACAAAACAAAACAAAAAAACTAGAAAGAAACTATCTATTGCAAGAACCCTAGTTTGCTAAATCATCAGAATTGGGATGACTAAACTAAGTATTAATTTGTGCAGCATCTTTCTTACAATCTTCAGAAAAGAAAACTCTTACAAAATCTTGGTGTCAACAAATATTCAAATGGCATTTATTAATGTCTGTGTCCTAATTTTCACTTGTGTAAGTTCTGGGTGGGTACAAGAAAGTGTAACACATGGATTTTAAACTCATGCTCTGTTGAATTTGAGCCCTAGTTGTCAATAAGTAGACCAGAGAGTAACATAGGAATTGGAAATAGGAGCTTCGAGGAGACAGCTCCAGCTTTGAGTCTCAGCCATAACACTTGCTAGCTTTGGCAAGTATTTTATCCTCTCTGACAAAATCCTTATTTCACTAGTTTGTATATAAGGGTAATAACAGAATTCTTCTCAAAATATCACTACATATGTCACTGTATATTTAGCTATTAATAATAGTGGCAATTATGTTGACAATAATAAAAGCAGTAATAACAAAATCACAGAAAATTTTACTTTTAGTTGAGGCAGTGGCAGTCAAAAGGTGGTGGCTGAGTTGAGGGAGAAGAAGGATATGCTTAATCAGTTTCTTCCTTCTGGATATGTTTTCCTTTTCCCAGTATCCTAGACCCGTATGATGAAGTCCATCAGAAATGCATGAGGAATGCAAAATAACACATCTGCTTCCTCTGAGACCCAACCAAATCCAACCCCCAGGTTAGAGATAACCTTTCGTGCATAGAGCCAAGGGTTTGCTTCTTGAAGTTGGCACCTTGGTAAGAGCCCTCTACTTTGGCAAGCCTATGGGCTCTAGAAGCAAGGCCACAAGGAAGCAAATGATGGAAATAGAAAAGCACATAAGCTAGGCCTCTACTGCATGGCTTTGGATCCTAGAGTGCACTCTCACATATGTTATCAGGTACCTGAAACATGGGAAATGTTCATCAATATCACTGTTATCACAGATGTTCCACCCCTGTTTATTGTGTAACTTAATCCTCTCAACAAGTGTGTGTATTATCATCCTCATTTGACACTTGAAGAACTAAGAACTAAGAACTAAGGCTTAAAAGTCAAGTTATTTGCCCAAGGACACAGAGTACATGAGTAGTGCCAGAGCTCAAACTGGGCTCTTGAATTACAAGTCTATGCTTTTATACTCTGCTTGGTTCTGTCATTCTGACATATGTGATTGCTTCTTTTAACAACCCTGTAAGGTGGGCAGTAGGTACTGTATATTCTAATTGTTTGTGTTAGGAAACAAAGGATAGTTAAGCATTGTTCCCAGGTAAAATGCTGCTGATAAATGGCACATTCTGCATCTAATCGAGTGTTCTTTTCACACTCGTTTTTGTTATATATAGGTGACAAGATTTTCAGAGTTTGATAATCAACTGAAAGAGCTAACAGATACACTATAGTACAAATGTATTTTTTTTGGCAAGTTGGGGCCTTGGGATAAAGAAAAACTTCAAAAATTAGAAGTAAAAGTATGATGTGTGTTTTTTGCTTCATTCAGGGACACTGTATCACACACATGTAAGCAAATATTCAATTAGAAAGGCAAAACATGACTTCCACTAGGATGCTTAAACAGGAAAATATAGAATCATTTTGACTAGTTCTCTGTAAACACAAGAAATTTTACTAAACTTATTTGATTACTGGGCTTCCATTTCAAAATAAAATGGTGGCTGATTACCATCATCAGCCAAATGATTCCAATACTATCCAACCCAGCAGGTCGTCCATCGGTTCAATTTCCCTGTGTTAGTTAGATTCACTCTGATTTTCATATTTAGTTACCAGTTGTGGGCCAAATCGCATTATAACTTTCCTAGCTCTACCTTTCATTGACTTCATCAGAGCTGCAAGCATGGAAGAGTAAAAGGATTGGGATGTAGCTAATGTTGTGATAGCACACTGATTTTGACATTGGTTTTTAGGAATCTTCAGTTCACTGGTAATTTTTAGAAGCATTTTCATTGGAAGTAACTCAAAATCTTCTTTAACTCTGATTTCAGCTATTGTCAACTGGTAATGCTGGACACTCTGTGTTCTTTCCTGCATTATTAAGTGCCTCTAGATGCCATGGACTGTGCTAAACATCTAGCACAGTGCTTTGCTTATATTCTATAGATTTGAACATTTTTTTGCTTTAGTTTTTATTTGGAGATGTATGCTGATAATTTTTTTATGTACCTGTGACAGTATTCCACAATGGTTATGGAATATATAATCAAATTTCTGTTTAAAAAGTCCTTAAGAGGTTTAATTTTAAAAGAATATCTTACACGAATTAGACCAAACACAGAAAGGAAAATATCATGTGATCTAACTTATATGAAATCTTTTTTTAAAAGGTCATATAAAATATACAGAGATAGAGAATAAAATAGTGTTTACAAGGGCAGTATTGGAGGTAGGGAAGGAGGAGGAAATGGGGAGATATAGGTCAAAGAATATAAAGTATCCAAGAATTCAAAGTACCAGATATGTAGGATGAATAAGTCCATCATGAGAATCATAGTTAGTAAAATCAGATTGTGTTAGAATTTTGGTTAAATAAGTATATTTTAGCTGTTTTCACACAAAAAAATAACCGAGATGATAGATGTTAATCTGTTTCAGTATAGTAACCATTTTACTATCTATATGTATCCTATAGCATCATTTGTAAATCCCAAATAAACACAATAAAATTTATTTAAAAATTAATTTTAAAAGATACAAACACAAAAGAACACACACACAAAGAAAGAAAGGAAAAGGAAGAAAAGATTCTTTGTAAACAATGCTCCTAGGCACCACTCTGGGGCACTGACTCCTCACTCTCCAAGATCCTAGTATTACTTACAAATCACTGAGATGACTTATGGCAGCCTGAGTTATTTTTTCTGGCATTCTTCCATCCAACTACTGACCATTGCTGGCTCTGATTAGCTTGTGTGATCATGGACAGAGGTTTTAGGCAGTGGGCATTGTTCCCTGGGTAAATAGCTATCAGAATATGGTCAATAGGTACAGGCGTGGGGTGTGTCAGTGGATTTCCTCCCTCTCTAAGGCCAGGGAAGAGTTCTAGGCACACCATGTCAAGAGACAGCACGCTCCACATGTGTTCCTTTACTTACTTTCTAAAGCAGGGCTAATTCTGTTGCATTTTATTGCCAAGGGAATGAGGGTGTTGCACTGGATTTCATCACGTGGCTGGAAATCAAACCG